ATACAAAAGTGATTTTTAATTTTGATCATTGTTGACCTGAATAGAGACCAACTTTGGTCGCTACTATATTTAAATCAGATTTAATTATATTTCATATAATATTTAAATTAATAATATAATTGTTAAAATTGTATAACTGGGCCCCATTTAAGCGACCAAANATTTTCGCTAGTTTAGCGACCAACTTTGGTCGCTTTTTCCCACAGACCAATTTTGGTCGCTAAAGTTTGGTCGCTTTTTTCCGGATTTCTAGTAGTGTAGTTCAATTTATTCTTGCTTTGCTCTCTAACAGTTTGTCTAGACATTATGTTTATTTTGATATACATGACAGTGCACACTTTTGGTTTTTCATGTATTATTTGTGATCATTGGATCAATAAAGTTGGACTATGAATGACTTATATTAAGTTCATTCATAAAGTTGTTAGACATTGTTAGAATATATTGTGCATTGTAATACATGGAACAAAGTGTTTGTTTAAAAGCATGACAGCCATGATTCGTGTAATAATATATTCTAGTTAAAGTGATTGTTGCATAACTTTTAGTTGAGTGATAAAGTTTATGGCCATATTATATGTTTATCTCTCATAAAGGATTATATGATTTTAGTATGTGGGCCAAGTGGGAGAATGTTAGAAATCACCGTCACTTCTAGAGACTTCTAGTGTGACTCACATATAAGGTAATAAATTATTTACCTTGTCTCTGAAAGGAAATAATATATCAGATAATATTCTGTAGTTATGCATATATTGTAGTTTCTTTGATGGAAAAATATTACCATATATTAGGAGTCCCTAGAGTAATTATAATTTATGGAGAAGTCCTTAAGGCTAAAATATTTGCCTAGGAGTCCCTAGCCTACCTATAAATACGCCGGTGACTCCATCAATCTGCGATAGACACAGACTAAAAGGCTTTCTAGGTTTTCTGCTAAAGATTTTAAAGACAATTCTCTACATCACTTAAACAAGTATGGCTGAAGATATGTTCCTATTAATATTCCGCTGTGTTGGGTCTGTGTTTGTAATCTAATATCAACAAAGGGTGCGCTCATTTTCATGAATTTGGATGATCCCAATCAAGTACCCATTGAATCTCTTGGAAAGTCATTTCTGTGTGCTTCACCTCTCCCTCTCTCACACTCCCATTATTTAACCACTATTTTCCCTGACTTCTCCTCTAGCTTCATTCTCATATCAAACTACAACATATATAGCTGCCCAAAAAGAAAGCAGGAAATAGAATTATTTCTTCTTCCTCCTCCTTCTCCTCCTCCTCTTCTTCTATTTTTCTTTAGCTTTTTGCTTCATTTTCTAAAGAAGAGCAACCAAAAAAAAAGTGAGAAAGATATTGAATAAACATGTCTTGTCAATATTACTTAACCACGACGACCTCTTCTCTCAGAATATTCTCCTTCACCCCCCGCCGTTACGCACCGAATTCTTCTGCAAGTCAACCTCATGAGTTCTTTAAAAGTGAGCTCTAGTTTTACTACTCTATCTCCTTCTTCTTTTTCTTAATATTAATTGTTGTTCTTTTTTCTTTGGGGTAGGGGTTAGCTTTGCTTTTATTAAACCTCGCCTCCACCTCCACCCCCACCCCCATCATTTTTTTGTATCGCTTTGGTTTATGAAGGTTTAACTTTCACATTGATGCATTACTGAAAAAACCATGCATCCTGTATATTATTGTCCTTAGAATACTAGTATATAGGGTCGATTTTTCAACTGAGAATTACTAGAAGTACTATTGTTAGAAAAAATATTGGAAGTTTAAGTACAAAACAATTACTTACAGCCAACGGGTGTTCTACAGAACAAGTACTTTTCAGTTCCAATCTGCAATGCAATGCGGTTTCAAGACCTCGCGCACAAGGTATCGACTAGATTTTTTTCCCTTTCTTTTTGATCTGTATTTTTATTTTATTTTTTGACAAAAACAATGACAATATTGATTTGTTAAAAAATAAAAACGTAGAATACAAAGAGGTGTTTAAAAATGGTTTGGCAGTTATCAAGCGGGACGACAACGTGGAAGAAGTAGACAGTGCAGAAGAACAACAAGAAGAAGAAGAAACACAAGAGGTGGTTCGGCCAATAAAGAAAATCTCTTTTTCCCTTAAGTCTAAATTATGACGAGCCAAAACTTTATTAAAGAGATTCAAGAAAATACTAAAATATCATAAGTGGAATGTGAATCTGTGACATATATAACGCAATCCCTTTACCGCTACACTAGTATATTCTCTTATGACAAAGAGATTCACTCCCTCCGTTTCAATTTATGTGAAGTTATTTCCTTTTTGATCTATGCCAAAAATAATGATCCCTTTTCTTATTTGGAAACAATTTACTTTTATGCAATGATTTATAGCCACACAAAATATATATGTGCCTCATTTTACACCACAAATTCAAAAGTCTTCTCTCTTTTCTTAAACTCCGTGCTCAGTCAAATAAGCTCACATAAATTAAAACGGAGGGAGTAAAAAAGAATAGCTTATGAGTTATTTGCATCGTGCTTAATTTTTCCACGAAGGATTCCATTGAATCGCCTTTACTGCACCTAATTCCTCCCCTATATATATATATATTCTTTTACACTAGCTAGATACAGTATTTCACCTATGAGATACTGCATCTAACTATCTATAAAAAGTGAGATTCACAATATGAAAAATAAAACTTAGTTACCTGCTACAATATATTAAAATACATATATATGACATAAAAATTATTTACGCTTTCATAAGTACGTTTAATTACATTCTATTTTGAGTACACATATTCTTGAATGTCTTTGTTTATAATCGGAAAATGATGTTACGTAAAAGGTGTACAGATCAAATAAGATAAAGCAACATATTTATGCCGTCCGGTTAATGTTGCAAAGTATGGATGATGGAGAGATAAGTATATCAGCTTATGACACAGCTTGGGTTGCTCTTGTGAAAGACATTAATGGAAGCGATACTCCTCAATTCCCTTCAAGTCTTGAATGGATTGCCAACAATCAACTTGCTGAATGTTCGTGGGGTGACAAGTCCATCTTTTTGGCTCACGATCGAATCATCAACACATTGGCCTGTGTTATTGCTTTGAAATCTTGGAATTTGCACATTGACAAAAGAGAACTAGGTAATGATGTCACTGCTTACTACTTTATGTTATCATTCATCATTATTTGATTATATATATAGTACTTTCTTTTGTTTTTGGATAGGAATGTCGTTTATCAGAGAGAATTTAAGCAAGATTGGAGATGAAAATGCTGTGCATATGCCAATAGGATTTGAAGTGGCGTTTCCTTCACTAATTGAGATTGGAAAAAAGATAGGCATTGATATTCCGGATGATTCTCATGTCTTGAGAGAGATATATACCTGAAGAAATCTAAAACTTACAAGGTATACATATATATATATATATAGTCAAGCATATCTTAAATCTGCTACTCTTGAGCAGGAAAATTTATTTATGTTTGTGTCACGATCCGGATTTCCTATCCTCGGGAGTCGTAATGGTGCCTACTAGTGTGAGCTAGGCAAGTTGACTGTTTGAACAAATTACCTTTTTGCCCATCTTATATTCTTTAACAATTATGAAGCACTAACTTTTAAACAGCGGAATTTAAATTAAGCGGGAGAAAAAAAATAAACTAGCTGAGCATGAATCCAATACAACTGTTTAACCAAAAACTTCCCAGAACTGGAGTCACAGTTTCACAGACGGTCTAAGAGTACTACAAATAAAGTTTGAAAGAAATAAATACAACACTGTCTCTGGAAATACATGAAAGAAACAGGAATAGTAGGTAGAAGGAGACGTTAAGGCTTGCGGACGCCTCCAAGACTACCTCGGATCGCTTGATGAACCAAGAACAATAATCTCACTACGGTTCGAAGTCTACAACACTGGGGTCTGCACAAAAAGTGCAGAGTGTAGTATCAGCACAACCGACCCCATGTGCTGATAAGTGCCTAGCCTAACCTCGGCGAAGTAGTGACGAGGCTAGGACTAGACTACCAAATAAACCTGTGCAGTTTAACTATATACAGCAGAAAAGAAGACCAGTAATATACAGTCAAGTATGGGAGGGGGTAACATGCTGCGGGGACATTGAATAATAATAGAACAACAATAAATAAATATTAGATCACCACAGTTCAATTGAAAATAGGAAGGGGAGATCATCCTGCGGGGTACAACAAGTATCAATTGGAAACCCACAATTAAATGTAGAGAAACCGTAACTCAGTTATCAATAAAAATCAGGAAAACAAAGATAGGTGCACGGCATCACCCTTCGTGCTTTAACACTCTCTCACCAAAACAATATATGCATCACCCTTTATGCTTTACACTCTTCCTCACCCAAGAAACAAACACAAGGCAAATAGGGTAATGAAATCTATAGCATCGAAATAAAATCAAGTACCAACAACAAATCAGTAAATAAACGTAAAGGACAACATAACTCAATTATCAACAAGAATAAGGAAAATCAAGGACAAGTGCACGGCATCACCCTTCGTGTTTTTACTCTCGTCCTCACCATAAGAATCAACATAAACTGCACGGCACCACCCTTCGAGATTTTACTCTCATCCTCACCATAAAATTAATGTAATAGGCACTGAATGGTACATCGTGCAACACGTCATCACCCTTCGTGCTTTACACTCTTTCCTCACAAATCATACACGGCATCACCTTTCGTGCTTTAATACTCTTCGTCACCCAAACAACAATCACAAGAAATAAGGGCAAGGAAATAAATGAAATCACAATAACACCCCGGCAAGGGAACAATAATACAACAATCAAATCCCGGCAAGGGAGACAATATCAAAACAATAACATCCCGGCAAGGGAGACAATATCAAAACAATAACATCCCGGCAAGGGAGACAATATCATGATTTTCTCTCTCCTTTCTTCTTTCACATTTACTTCACAACTTGAGCCAATGCTCTATAATGTTCAACAATTCTATTCTTAACTTGAGCCAATGCTCTACAAATGTTCAACAATTCAATTCTCAACTTGAGCCAATGCTCTACAATGTTCAACAATTCAATTCTCAACTTGAGCCAATGCTCTACCATGCTCAATTAACAATAATACTTCCACAAGTCATATTCCTCAATAGAAATTATCATATAGAGCATGAACAATACGAAACAGAGTCACATTAATCATAGTATAAGACTCACGGGCATGCTTGATACCAACGTATAAATACTCGTTACCATGCCTATACGTCGTACTCAACAAATAACACATAGCAAATAGGACATAACTCCTAATCCCTCAAGCTAAGGTTAGACCAAACACCTACTTCGATTCCCCGAACACAATTCACGTCTCAACTATCGCTTTACCCCTTGATTCCACCATAAATTTGCTCGTATCTAGCCACAAGTTACTTAATTACATCAATAAATGCTAAATGAATCAATTCTAATGCATGAAAATGAGTTTTCTAATGTTTTACCCAAAAAGTCAAAAATTACCCCGGGCCTACGTGGTCAAAACCCGAGGTTCGAACCAAAACCCGATTACCCATTCCCCCACGAACCCAAATATATAATCTATTTTCAAATCGGACCTCAAATCGAGGTCCAAATCCCCAATTTTTGAAAAACCTAGGTTCTACCCAAAACACCCAATTTTCCCATGAAAATCATTGATTTTGAGTTGAAATCATGTGAAGAAATGTTAATGATTGACGAAAACAAGTTAAAATTGACTTACAATCGATTTGGAAGAAGAGTTGTCTTTAAAATATCGCCCAAGAGTGTTTTGGTTTAGAAAGAGTGTGAAAAAGGGGAGATTTTTGGCTAAGTATAAAAATTGCAGGTTGTAGATATGAGAATTGCGACCAGGGTTCGCAATTGCGAACCCCAACCTCTACTTTGTTCGCATTTGCGAACAAAATGTCGCATTTTCGACCAAGTAGATTTTCCGGTCTTCTTCGCATTTGCGATAGACTTCTCGCAAATGTGAAATCGCATTTGCGATAAAAGAGTCGCATTTGCGACTAAGGCAGTAGCTGGACGGAATCGCATTTGCGATGGGAACCTTGCATTTGCGAGATAGTGCTGGCCTGGGCTAGTTTCCATCTGCGACATAGCCTTCGTAATGCGAAGCCTGCAATACATCAGTTCAAAATCTACAACATCCTAAGTCAAAATTCCACTCCGTGGCCCATTCAAAACTCACCCAAGCCCTCGGGGCTCCAAACCAACCATGTACACCAACCTAAAAACATAATACGGATTTTCTCGTGCATTCAAAGCGCTAAAATAACATCAATAACTATAAAATTAGCATCAAAATCATGAAATTTCTTAAGAACTTCAAACTTGCCAAATTTCTCAAATAAGGTCCGATTCGCATCATTTCAAATCCGTTTCTTACCAATTTTCACAGGCTCGACTCAAATCATATATAAGACCTGTACCGGGCTCCAGAACCAAAATAAGGGCCCGATACCAATGGTTTCAAACATATTTCTCTTTCAAAAACTCTTAATTAATTCAGGAAAATAATTTCTTTCAAAAATTCATTTATTGGGCTTGGGACCTTGGAATTCGATTCTGGGTATACGCCCAAGTACCATATTTTCCTACAGACCCTCTAGGACTGTCAAATTACGGGCCCGGGTCCGTTTACCCAAACTGTTGACCGAAGTCAAATTGATTCATTTTAAAGTCAAAAATTTATTATTTTTCATAGATTTTCACATAATGGCTTTTTGGCTACGCACCCGGACTGCGCAAACAAATCGTGGTGATGCCGAAAGAGGTTTTTAAGGCCTCAGAATGTAGAATTTACTTTTAAAACAAGTGATGACCTTTTGGGTCATGACATCCTCCACCTCTAAAACAATTGTTCGTCCTCGAACGAACAGAAGAGAGAAGTACCTGAGTTAGGAAAAAGATGGGGATAACGGCTCCGCACATCTTACTCGGGGAAAAGCGGGTTGTCCTCTCTGTCACACCTCCTTTTTGCGCGCCCCGCCCCGAAGGGTAAAATGCGAGGGAGTTTTTTCCAATTTAAGTGACAATATTCGAAATGGGATTATTTATTTAATTCAGA